TTGCAAGGCTTCTGCAATCAGGAGGGTCAAATTCAAGCAGCAGTGAAAGGATAAAGATCAATGTCACTCTGAATGGTGACAATTACCCCTTATGGGCAAGATTGATGCGGGTCGAATTCGGAATCAAGGGGCAGTGGGGATTCATCAAAGGCACAGAACAAAAACCCCAGCCTGACGATCAAATCAATCTTCTCAAATGGGAAAAAGAAGATATGACGGTTTTCTCATCAATTCTGAACAACATAGAGCCACAGCTAATGCATAATCTCGCTGAGTATCAAACATCAAGGGCCTTATGGGAGGCACTAGCAGTAACCTATGGGGCAGGGACAGATTCGTTTCAAATCTACCATCTACAGAATGAAGCTGCTAGACGGGTACAAGAAAATCAGACACTTGAGGCGTACTGGAATGACCTCCAAGGCCTATGGTTGGCTATTGACCGTCGCCGACCAAACCCCATGACTGGCGACAACAACATCACAGCATACAACAAAATTACCCAAGAAAACAGACTCTTTAATTTTTTGGGTGGACTGAATGGTGACCATGACAGTATCAGACGAGAAATTCTCCGAGAAGACCCACTTCCCTCAGTGGAGGCCGCGTACGGGAAAGTTCGGAAGGAGGCCGCCCAACGCCGGATTATGACGCCGGCAACCAGATCCGGTCCCGTCGCAGCCTCTCCATCATCGGGAACAGAAATTGGCATGGGATTAGCATCAAAATATTTTTCCGACCGACAGAAATACCAACCATCAGAGAATCGAAAGAATACAGGCGGAGGCCCGAAAAAATTAGACAAATCGAAACTCTTTTGCACTCACTGTAATAGATCAAAGCATACAAAGGAGACCTGTTTTTTACTTGTCGGATTTCCCGAATGGTGGGAGGATGGCCATAAGCCGGGGAAGCCCAACAATATGAAAGCCGCCGCGGTGACCGGAACCACAGAAATTGCGAACTCCGGCGGCAGCTTCGGAATGATGGCAGCCATGAGTAGCGGAGATGGGGTGCATACCGGGACGACAGCACCGGCGGCGTTGAACGGACCAGAGGCAGCGGCAGGAAAGGGCGCCGGCACAAGCAGCGGCAGCAAAGGGGTGACAGGTAACGAAGGGCTAGGGATTAATCCCTTCCCTTCATTCTCCCTTTCTAATTATAAAGCTGATTGTGTGAATAAAAAATCATGTTTGCCCTTAGCCCATTTATCCCTTAAAGAAACAGATTGGATTTTTGATTGTGGGGCTACAGACACAATGACATATGACCCTAATGACTTAAAAAAAATTAGCCTTGCAAAAATGAAAAAAATTCACACAGCTAATGGGGGAGTATCAGCAGTTAAGGGGGAAGGGTATACTCAGATTTTTCCAAATATCAATTTAAAGTGTCTTTATATTCCGAGTCTTACGTGTAAGTTATTATCTGTTAGCCAAGTTACAAGAGAGTACAACAGTAGAGTCGTTATGTACTCTGATTTTTGTATATTACAGGACATTCTTACACAGGAGATAATTGGGCGTGGTACTGAACGCGGTGGTTTGTATGTAGTGGATGATATCAGCCGAGAGGGCACGTCACAATTAGCTCATGGCTCCAGTAATAGACAATTATGGCTTTGGCACCGACGTTTAGGTCATCCGTCCTTCGGATACTTAAAGTCTTTATTTCCGTCTTTATTTTCCAATAACACTACCATGACTTGTGATACATGTATTCTAGCTAAAAGTCATAGGTCTAGTTATTTACCTTCTAATACCCGCATTGATACACTCTTTGGTTTAGTTCATGCTGATGTGTGGGGTCCAGCGCCGCATACAACCACAGTTTTTAATTATTTTCTTCTCCTAGTCGATGATTGTACCCGCATGTCGTGGGTCTATCTTTTGAAAAACAAATCCGAGGTCTTTGACAAAATTGTTTCTTTTTCAAAAATGATTGATAATCAGTTTCAAACACAAATTAAGATTTTTCGATCAGACAACGGAGGGGAATTTGTAAATCAGGCTTT